CCGGCTGCTTTGGTCTTGGCCTTCTTCTTCCCGCCGAGGGAGATCTTCGTGGGCGGGGGAAGGGCGCTGTCTTCATCGCCGAATTCTGCCATGGCTGCAATAAAAGAGCAAAGTTAGTTTGATCAAGAAATGAAGCTAGGTCGGGAGGAACGGCTCGAGCTGAACCTTTCTTCTTTCGTTTCGACGGCTTCGCGACCGTCACGCCCATCGGCGCGGGCAGATACTTCTCCGGCAGCTCGTATGTGGGGGGCGGGAGTTGAGCCGCCTCGAGACTTTCAGCCGTCCGGAAGATTGTGTATTCGTGCACCTCGCTCGAAATCCGGCTGACCGTGTCCCTCAGCGCTTGCGTCTCGACCGGCACCACTTGCTTTCTGAAGTGGCTGCTCCAAGTGCGATCGACCGGGAGGATCCAGGGGTCGTATTTGATGGAGAAAATTCTGTTCTTCCACCCCTTGTTGTTCCCGGGCAGGCCTTTGATGGAGCACATATCCGCTCGGGATTGCAGCATCAGGAACCCACCCCCGTAGCGGCCCGGGAGAACCTTGATCTGGTAGATGAAGTTGAACAACTCCATCGTGCACTCGGCCTCGTGCCGAGTGCATATCTGCGGGAAGCAGGCGAGGATCCGATGTGCGTTCGGGCAGATCTGGGCCGGGACGACCCGGTAGTAGGCCAAGAAGGCGTTCAGGAGGGGGGTGAAGGGAATGGCGACCGGGGCCATCAGGGAGTCGTAGTGCATCCCGATCCACTTGCCCCGATGCCTGTCAATCACGTTTCCCAGCTGCCGGTTCGTGTCGAATTCTACCCGACCCCGGAGTATTTCAGCAATCCGAGCCGCTTCGCCTTTGGTCAGCAGGCTCATCTCCTGCTCGACACTCTCGCTGTTCAAGAATTCGAGCTCGACGGCTGGTGTGGCCGGCCCGGCCGGGTCTTCTGCGGTCTGCTCGGGGGTATTTTCTCGATCGCCCCCTCGAGGAGCAGCTTCCGGGTAGTCCCCAACCACCCGGGTAGGCGTTTCCCTAACGCCCTCAATCGGACAGCCCCGCCCGCTTAGCGTGGTTCTCCCTTCCTCTTCTTCGCTGGAGCTCCCCGATCCGCTGGAGCTAGAGCTCGATGTCCCGGAGGAGCTTGATGCGCTGTTATGCTCGACAGCTCGATCGGGGGCTGGCGTTGCTCGGGGGCTGGCTTCGGGAGTGTAGGACATAATGTCCACTTCCTCGTCGCTGATACGCTCGACCTCCTCATCGTAATCCGCGATCGAGGCGTTTTGACTATCCGAGTCCGACATATTTCTACCTAAAGGTCGGTCGGGAGTTAGTACAGGGTTCGGGGAGTTAGCTCGAAGTTAGTGCTATCCTACTTCTACGCTAAGTAAAGAGTAAACAAAGAGTAAAGAACTAAGAGCTTACCGAGTAAGGAAACTTTGAGGAAGGTCTGAAGTTTTACTTTGCTTGATCGCCTTGCTGAGATGCTCTGCTCGGGATTCTTAGAGGATACCGACTGAAGCAAAAGAGTGAGGAAAGTTCAAATGAGGGCCTCAAGGGCCTATTTATAGGAAGGCATTTAGGAGGGAAATGGGCCAACCTGCCTGACACGACCCGCGCTGAATCCGAGGCGACGGATGGGATCGTCGAGGCCGGCAGAGGCCGACACGTGGCGTAGGAGGGAATGACAGCTGGCAGGTCGGCTTGGTGGCTGACGGTTGGGCTTCTTCATCCCGTCCCGTTTTTTCCCGACTGATCAAAAAGGCCCGGGCTGGGGGGCTCTTGGTAGGGAATATCCCGACCGACATAGCTTCACCACGACCGAGGAGCCTTTGTCTATTTCTCCTTGTCTTTGCAGGTAACAGGTCGGGCTCCACAAGAAGAACCCGGTCGTAGACCGACCGGAGTTGCCCGAGCGACGTTGTCGACCACCGAGCGGTAGCCCTTCGGCGAAAGAGCTGACGAAGGACACGTGGCGGCTCTTTACATCGACAGGCAGGGCACCCGGGAGGATGACACGTGGTGGCTACGTGGAGGACATGCCGAACGGCTGGAATCCTGTCCCCGGCCTAGCAGCTATAAATACCCACAGTAGCTACAGTGTAAGGGACTTTTGGACGATCGATAGGTTGTTGTTAGAGAATCCCGACCGCACTCAGTCGGTACTCAGAGCAGCCAAGTAGATTGTACTTAGGGCCTTTACCGGGATCAATAAAGATTTTACTCGCTTTAACTGGTCTCGTGTTATTTTATATTGCTTACGTAGAATTAGCAGTATCAATAATAATAATGGAAAACGATAACATAAGTTATAACTATATGGATATTTTTGTCCAAAAAACTGTATAATACAACTCTTATAGCATAATATATAAAAACAAATTAACGGAAATAAATGGACATAAATCAAGTATATAACATTGATTGAGACTGAGAACACGCTTATAGGTAAAAAGTGAGAATTGATCACATCCATCAATTTGGATAGATCAACAATTGAGACACACGACTTAGATTATCCTTTGAGTCCCTTGACTACTTTCGTTCGGTGTATACTTATTTTAAAATAACATTTGGTACGGTTATTGATCATTTTTTTTTTTTTTTGGTTAGACATGAGGTGTCTTGAGTATGTCATAACCATAAGAGGCACATTTAAACTCGTACCATACTCATACTAATTCTCATTCGCACTGGCCCAACTCAAGTAAAGAGCGAAGTGTTGGCCAAACTATTTTCGTTTGCTTATACTTATGTTTAAAATAACATTTGGTACTGTTATTAACCATCTTTTTTTAAAGTCATGAAATATTGATAAAAAATACAAGGTATCACAATAATGGAAACCATGACTAAAAGTGTTGCTATGCCCCCCATAATCACAATTTCGCTGACTGACCATATTTTTGCCCATAGTTTCTGCCCCACCTGCCACTGTTCAACTGTTTTAGTCGTGCTTGTCTTTATTTTATTTTTTATTTTATTACTTTACTTTCTGATTTGGAGAGATTATAGGCATTATTTGGTAAAGTAATTAGTTTATCAGCTAATTTTAATTGTTTAACTTTTTTTTTTTTTTTTGAAAGTTACTGGCTCTATTACATTGTAGTATCTGTTCATATACTTTCTTAACTGTTTAACTTAATTAAACAACAAATATGAGATTTAATTAATTAGTTTTTTGTAACAACTTATTTGCTCTAAAATACTAAAATTCAAAAAGTTGTTCAAATCAGTTTTTTGATTAACTTTTTTAAGAAAGTCATTTTGTATGTAATCAGTTATAAACTAATTTACCAAACATCTTTTTACAATCAACTAGTCAAACTCACTTACCCAATCAGCTAACATCTATTTACCAAACACTCCATATATCATCAACTCCATGAACACTACTCAAGCTAACAAGGAGGTAAATCAAGACAATATAGTTTGAGTTAATACCCAAAATTGTCCTCGACTATAGTGGTTTTTCTCAATTTCGTCCTAAACGACTTTGGTGACCTAATATAGTCCCAAATTTTTGTGTTTCGCTCAATTTAGTCCTCCGTTTGTTATTCCGTCAAATTGGTGTTAAATAAAGGGACAATTCAGTAATATCAATATTGACCTCTCTTTATTTTCAACATGCGAAGTGAGAAATCTCTCTTTCTTACACGAATTACACCCAGAGTTACTTTCAGACCTACGAATCAAATTTTATATTCGCAGCTTTAGAAGTGATTCTGGGAGTAATTTGTAAAAAAAGAGGGATTTCGCACTTCACATGTCTATGAATAAAGAGATGCCAATATTAAAATTACTGAATTGTCTATTTATTTAAAAACAAATGGACGGAATAATAAATGGGGGACTAAATTGAGCAAAAACACAAAAGTCTGGGACGAAATTGAGTAAGAACACAAAACTCTGGGACTGCATTAAGTCACCAAAGTCGTTTAGGACAAAATTGAGAAAAACCACTATAGTCGAAGACGATTTTGGGTATTAACTCAATATAGTTTCAAGTGCTCAACATCAAGCTATACACCTTTACACACAATAAGTCAAGCCCAAACTAAAACACAAACTCTCAATATTCGTGACAAGAATCGAACCACAATCCTGCCTTTAAAAAAAATTTACAAATTTGGCTCATATGCTTTATAAGTTTGTTCAACTTTTTTTTTTTTTTTTTTTGGGGGGGGGGGGGGGAGGGTGGGAGAGGGTATGATGAGAACATACAAATTACATAACGAGGCATCAAAACATATTTTTAAATGGTCAATTATCTTTTATCAAAGTATCTTATATTTTATAAATTTTTTTTTTCTATGAGCGACAACTTACCATAATTTTCTATACTTAAATATGTGTAGTTTTTAAAACTCTTTAAATGTTTAAACTAGTTGCTATTTACTGATATTATGAATATTGTTAAATCTTGCATCTAGATTGAGTGTAGTCTCTTTTTGTTTATTTGTTAAAAAAACAACAAAATCATTAGTTATGAATGTAAACTTTGTTATGAACAATGTCTATATAGGTCATGGTCGTTATGAATTGTTATAGTGGGTATCTTCCTTGATTGCATTAGAAATATTCATTAATTAATTGCAATTGTAATATATTCTATACTCATTTATGTTGTATGGAAAATTCGCCGGAGTAACATTTTTCTATTTCAGAGACATTTCATTTTTGAAATTCATTTAGTAACATTTTTATGTTATTTTATATCTAATTAAAAATTTTTGAAAATAGGTTGTTTCATAATTAATTAAAAATTCATAAACTCCTTTTTGGGTAGGAAATATATTGTTGGAATGTTGGTCTAATTTATTTATTATTATTATTCTTCTTCCAAAAAGTTGAATCCCAACCCTAAGGGTACCCCACACCCCGGTCAGACAAAGCATTTGGGAGGATATTATTATTATTATTATTATTATTATTATTATTATTATTTTGTTTTGTTTTGTTTTTTTTTTTTTTTTAAATTTTGTTTTATTTTATTTTATTTTTAAGAAAAGAGGGCCAGATTGACAACTTCTGCAAAACAGGGGCTACGTGGTAAATTCAATTCCGGCACAAAGGTCTACAACGATTTCCGCCATGGCCGTAGCTCATTGCTTCTCTCTGATAGTGTATTTCCCGTCAGGTCCGAGCTCCGGCTTCCTCTGCTTCTCCCCGCAAACGAGACTGAGAGATTCATATACTCCGGCCTCCTCCAATCCCGCCGGAGGGATATGTAGAGATGCTAGGGATTTCATACGGAGAGTTGTTTCTCTTGCTCGGAGCTACCGCCGCTTTAATTGGTACTCTTCTTCTTCTTCTTCTGTATCCATTTCTGTTATATCTAATTTTTCAATTTAGTTCGGACATTCCCCTCGATGATACCTAAAACCTATTACTCCTCACGAGATTGTTAATTGAGTAGCTTTTATGGCCCTCTGCTAGATTGACGTTTCTCTTCTTCTTTCTGTGTTGAATTTTAAATGCTGAGCTAGGGTTTTGATGTGTTAGGACCTAAGGACCTTCCAATCATAGCCAGAACGGCCGGAAGGTTATCTGGCCGTGCTATTGGCTATGTTCAAATGGCGCGCGGTCAATTCGAGAGTGTCATGCAGCAAACTCAAGCTCGACAGGTTCTCCATTTTTTGTATTTTTACTCTCTGCGCACTCTTACTGATCAATAGATATAGATGGATGCTCGAATATCTTTTGCTTATTGCATATTGTTGGATAGGGTGAACCATGAAAGCAAAGTGCATTGTAGTCATTTTAAGGTTCTTCGTCATGGTCATGTTCTTTCACAAGCTCAATTCAATAGAAACAATGTGTGTGTGTGTATACATATATCCACCTTTCCCGCGAACATGCAAACTACCTTTTCTGCAAATTGTAATGTTTGATTGTGCATTTTGGAAAGACGTGTTTCTGTAATTACTTTTGTATTTTGGATTGTGCATCATGTAATGCTGTAATTACTTTTTGTATTTTGGATTTTGCATCATGTTGTGCCTATTGTACAGTTCACACGGGAGCAGTGATTTTCATTTGATCCTGCCTATATATATATATATATATATATATATATATATATATATATATATATATATAAATTTGTCATAATGTGTGTTTATGCTTTTTAATTGAAGCTTTATTGTGTTTGTATTTATGTGGGGGAGAAGGGGGTACATGCCCCTTACTTATTGGCCCATTTGATTTAGTGCATATTTATGTGTATGACGATGATCTTTCTCTGGACTTATAATTGAAGGTACATAAAGAACTTCAAGATACAATTGCTCAATTAGAAGCCATAAGACATGAAATCCGGACTATTTCTTTCATGAATCCTGGTCCATTAACCACAAGACTAGTAGACAACATCAACAATATACCTGCAGCTGGAGCTGGTATACGATTGGACAAAATTCTAACAACTTTGCTTTCTGGTTATTCTTCTTTGAGTTTCTGATTTGTTTTCTTTCAAGATATAGTAGAAACTGGACCTGAAAAACCTGATAATGAGGAGGCCACAACAGTGACCATTACACCCAAGGTTAATCCCATCTTCTAGTGTCTATGTGGAGTACTAATTTTACCTTTCTTTTCAGATGAAATGATTTATGTATCTATAGTTGCAGGATCCAGACCCAAAGGTCTCAACATCTTCTGATATGCACAGCCAAGCAACTGCTTATGCAAAATTGGCAGAAATCACATCAGCAAATGTTGGGTCTGTAAATAGCGAAGCTCTCAATGAGCTTATTGATGAATCTGGTAACCTTGTACTTCCAGTCTCTGCTAAAAGTGCAGGGTTGTTGCCTGATCACAAAGGTAAAAATTATTTTTGTGCTGTATTGAATATTCTAATTTGGTCTTCAACTCTTCAAAAAGCCACTTTTGTTAATGCGTCTGCACACTGAAAATAGTTCCTATAAAGTTAAATGTTGACATCCTTCATTATCTTTTCCTCTGCAAGGACAATATATGGTTTGCTCTTTCTGTGCAATGCATATCCAGGATTTTAGTGCCCAGTGATGTACATTATCAATTGTTTACCAAAATTATTTCAGACATAACTGACTTCTCCCTTGTTATTTTTCATCCCTTTCTGAAGCTGAAGTGAAGGGATCTGACATTGTGTTAGAAGCTATTCTAGAGGCGGATGTGGCACAAAATGCAAAGAAGTTCTTCGTACAGAACCAAAACCAAATAAAATATGAATGAGAGGTACATAACTGACTATGCATTCTAATCGCTTTTCTGTTCAACTATTTGATCGTGTGACATCATCTTCTGCCAGCTTTAGAAAGGTCTTTAACTTACAAAACTGTTCCTCATAAAGTAGTTACACGCTAGGGAATTCTTACGTGTCTGTCAACAAAATGACCCTTTGCATTGAGCCATGAATATAATTCACCTTTTCAATTCATGATATTTCTTACTATCATCTTATTGAAAGAAATAAGATTTAACCCTTTTTGGGTTGGCAGCTAATAGATCAGCTTAATCTTAAGAAATTGAAGGTTCTATCAGAAGGGTAGTTGTAAAAAGCCATAGGCAGCTTAGATCTAGTTTAAAAAAAGCATTTTGTTACACGCATTAATGTTGTCAAGGCATGCTCCCTTGCTTTGATGACCTGCAATTCACTTGGCCCCCCCTGTGTGGTCCATTCCATCAACTGAAAGTTACCCATAATGAGTTAATGACTGTTTGTTTTATCATTTTTTTGGTGCATTCCAGCTTCGTTTCTGTCCCCCCAATCAAAACCATGATTTCAGAATCTTCATTTATTGGTTGTGACTTGGAGATTGATGTGGCGTTCTGATTTCTATGCTGGAAGAGACCAAACTATTTCCATGGGAAGCTATTTCGTTCGGTTTTGACATGGTAAAAATAGCTTACAATGTCTGTTCGTTTGCCCACATATTGGTCCGACATGTAGAGCTTATTAGTGTACATTGTGGGATTTGCTTCTCATGAATACTCTAAAATACCATAGATTTTGTATCTGTTACAGTAAACCTGGATAGCTCACTGAATTTGAAATTAATTTGCCCCACTATCATAGCTCTTTAATTGTAGTGTCTGTGTAAAGCTCTAATTTTTTTGGGAAGGGTGTTAAAGTAAATACCAAATAATAAAGAGAAATTAAAATAGAAATGAATGAAATGGTGAGGTCTACATGTTTTTTCTTTTAGCTGCGGAATTGGGTTTGTCGTATGTAATGGGGTACGTGTTGTACGAATATTGTGTGTAGTGGTCCATAGTCCCATCTCTTAACAAACTCACATTTCAAGTTTGCTTCCACTTCTCTCAACCACTCATTCTCTCTTCCTTTATTATTATTATTTTTTTCCAATCAAAATTTCAACACTTAACTACATTCTACTGTTGAGCATATAACCATTAATGTGCAATTCAACTATCAGCTTAGCGTTTTAGTTGAGATGGAGTACATCATTCAATTTGGTATTATATAACCATTAATGTGCTGCAATTCAACTATAACTAAAAATGCATCGATATATACGACATTAAGAATGAGATCATAGAGATTTTTAAAATTGGAATTTAACTTTTTTTTTTAAAAAATAAAAATAAAATCGAATTAAGGGTGTATACCTCACAAAGTACCCACAAACTAATCATGATATCATTTCACTCAGGAAAGAGTGTTAGGCTGTAATTAATACTCAAGTGATGCCAATTTTCAAGTTATAATAATTTGTATGCTATTAATTTTTCTTTTATACATTTGAAGAGGCTGTGATTTTTTAAATTTTAAATTACAATTTTTTTTTGGAATACTATTGACTCTATTGCAATGTAATATATGTTCTATAGTTTCCCTAACTACTGCAGCCCAAAGAGTCAATGTCTCAATCCTGTGACCTTCCCTTAAAGAGAGCCACAGAGGTGCCAAAATACTTCCAACGCAATTTATATTAAATTATTTGTCACAAACTTTTATTTATTTATTTTGCATTTTGTGTTGTGCATTGTTTGTCAATCTTAGAAAATGAGATTTGACTTTAATCCATCAATATCATGATATGCATGTGGAAACAATTATTAACAAAGAAGATAAGCTTTTTTTTTTTTTTTAGTAAAAGGTTTCGCAAACTTCAAGTTGTTAATCTCATGATTTGTTTAGGCTGTAATTAATTAATTGTTGTGTAAATGTCTTTTCAATTGTCTAATATGTGCCCCTCTCTATGTTGAAATCATAATGGGTTATTAGAATTCATTGACTGCCTTTTTATCTACTTCATACTTTTCTGATCAAGATAACACTTTATGTAGTCTGCACATCAGATCAGTTCAAGTCCACTCATCTCTTATACGGACTAATTTAAATGCCCAAAACATTGTTTCAAAATGAATTCTCCAGTTTGAATTATATGAATTTTGTTCATAATGTTGTTTATTTATGTTTAGCTTATTGTTCATCTAGTATTTATTTTGATTTCTGCATGACAAATCAAATAGGAAACTCTAATTTTGAGACAACATTATGATAATGACTAATAAAGGAAAACGTAATTTGTTTAATTTGTGCATCATCTCACAGACTCACAAATTACTTGAATTGTAATAATATATAAAATATGAGAAATTTTACAATGATGCGAGCTTTATAAAGGTGTATATCATGCTTGCTAGAAGTACATAGGGGAAGAGAGTATAATACACTTTACATAGCCCTAATATAGTTGGTCAGATAGTTAAATTAGTAATCACAAAATTTTTAGATTGTTGCCTATTAATCTTTTTGGTTTGAATTAATCAGCTATGAATAATTTAGACTAATTTACTGGTACCTTTTTGTTTTCTCGTAAATAAAGAGTGTTACATTTTCATAAGAAAATCAAATAAAACATATATGCCAAATATCTTGTGCTCAGATGGCATATAGTGATTATGAGAGGTCATGAAATTGAGGCTCAGTGAAGACGTTGTTGACTCTTTGTGCTTCATAGGTTGAGAAAGTATATATGTTTGAACATGTGCATTCAAAAAAAATAAAACATATATATGGGTTAGGTGGAAACCTAAAGAAAAAATGGCATATCTTATGATGGAATAAGGAGAAGATTTGGATGGGGACCATGGTTATGTATGAAAACATATAAAACACAAAAGAGGGCCACACAAGAAATTGAGTCCTAGCCTTTTGTCTTCTTGTAGCATACTAAGCATTCCATCTATATTCTCTCTCTCTGCAGCCATCCATGTCCCAAAGGTGACTTGCAGAAAGATGGATCCAATAACCTCTCACAAGCCCCCCCACCCCCCTCCTACAATCTACAAATCCATGGCTGCTTAGAGGCTGCAGATCTCATCCCCCATCACTTCTTTTCTTTGTGTCTGCCATGTGTGGCCAGTCAAGCTTCCCATCACTTTCAAATTGCACCTTCATGTTTCTTTGCCCATTTATTGCTTTGATCATAATCTCACATGGGCCATATGGGACATATATATATATATATATATGTTCTTTTTTTCACATTTTCACACTTTAAGACAATTAGCGTGCTTTCTTAGTATTTAAGACATGATAGACGTGATTGTGCAATATTTGATTTAAGATAAATTTTATAAAATCTTAAGACATGATCTAATAGCTTTCTAAACTAGATTGGCCATCTAATCACATTCCCTATATTATTGTCATTTACATAATTTTAGATATTTTTTAAAATTTAGTTTAGGAACTTTTTCTTTTTTGGTATACACATGAAAAAAAAAAAAAAAAAAAAAAAAAAAAAAAAAAAAAAGAAGAAGAAGAAATAAGTTACATTACAAATCAACACTTTCAACCTTCCCCTCAAAAAAAAAAAAAAAGAATCAATTTACCAGTATTCTTTTCTGAAAATGGCATTTCATTGGGCTGTGCTAATCGGATAGCAAAAGTGGAGATGTGGGGTATCAATCCCCATACCTCTCGCATGCTAAGCGAGCGCTCTACCATCTGAGCTACATCCCCATATGCTACAAGTTTTGTTATCTATATATTTATACATATTAGAGCAATTGATCAAACTTTCATCATTCAATATCGTAATTGTACATATTTTTAGTTTAATTTCACAACCGTAACAATTCAATGATTTATTCGACATCGTTTTTATGTACTGAGTAATTAAGTAATATAACTCTAAAATAATAATAATCTTTTTTATATTCAAAAAAATTTGCAATCATTGTTTAAAAGTGTGAAAAATTATACTAATCTTTAATCGAACAAAAGATAAAGTTAACAAATATCTTGATCTGCAATCAAACAATTGATTATTATCTTTGAAATATTATCCCCATAACCAAACACATGTTTGAAAACATATTTTCATTGTAAGCCCTATTCTAGTCAACCCAACAACCCCCAACCTACCCCTAAGTAGCAAATCAATTCATAGATCTTAGTGGTGGAAGTGAAACGAAAATGACAAGAGGGAGGGGATGGTTTCAATTGCTTGGTGTGTGTTACACATGTATTTATACACTAAAATAAAGAAACTATAAATGCATGACATATGAGAAAAATCGGTGGTATAAATTAAACAATGAAAATTCATCTTAACTATAATCATCCTATTTTTTTTTTAGACATAACAATTTTTTTTTTTGAGGAAAATATAAGGATTGCATTAATAATCAATCAAAGATGAAATACAGGTCGGTGGTATAGAGAACCACGAACCTAGGGCAGACATGAAACCAGTAGCCCTTGCAAGTAGGGATGGCAACGGGACGGGGCGGGGGCGGGGAACGGGGTCCCCGTCCCCGTCCCAGAAATATTTCACCATTCCCCGTCCCCGCCCCGTTCCCGTGGGGAATTTTCGGGGACGGGGAATCTCCGCCCCGTTTTTTATTTATGCCTAATAAAAAATAAAAGACTAGTTTTTCAAAAAAAATAATTAAATACTAAACAGTTTACAGTAACTACAACTTTTAATTCCTAAACAGTTTACTACACTAAACACTAAACATTTTAATTCGTAAACAGTTTGCACTAAATACTAAAATTACTAATTAAAATTCTTTTAATATTATTAATATTATATATTATATAATATATATATTATTAACCGGGGATTCGGGGACGGGGACGGGGTCGGGGTCGGGGCGGGGAATGCCCTCCCCGTCCCCGTCCCCGTCCCCGGCGGGGATTGGGGAATTCTCCCCATCCCCGCCCCCGTTCCCCGAAATAAATCTCCGAACCCGTCCCCGTTGGGGCGGGGGTCGGTTTTCCCCGTCGGAGGCGGGTTCAATTGCCATCCCTACTTGCAAGAACATGAGTAACCTGATTCGCTGACCTACTGACATGGCGAACAGACACGTTCCCAATGTCTCTAGCAATAGTACGACATTGCTTAATAACGAGACTAACATACGCAAAGTCTGAAAAGGAAGAATTATAAGCAGTACAAAAATTAAGACAGTCAGATTCTAAAACGACATTAAGAAACTGATGACTCTTGAGCTAAGATAATGCTTCTCGAACTGCCATTGACTCAGCCATATAAAGGTCACGGTCACAGATAAGCCGGCCTGGTCCCTTAAGCCGCAATAAAACTCTCGTTGGCATCCCTAACAACAGCACCAAAGACATAACAATATTGAAAGTTACGTTGTGGCATCAAAATCTTTCTTATATATAGCCTTACTAAACTACATATAATAGGTCGATCAATTCTTGAACATATTATTTCATTTGCAAGTCTGTTTCATTTTATTAAGATATTTTAATTATTGCATCACTTTATTTTAAGAATATATTTCAATATATAATATTTAAAGTATAATAATTCACAACTATTAATCATGTTATATACTATATATAATCTCCTTAGTAGTGGGATTGCAACCATGAAACAATCCCTTGGGGAAGTTTCCAACCTTGTTTACTTTATCATTCCTTTCATTACTTTGACTACAAATCTAATAAGTTATAATCCTCTACGAAACTTTAAGATCATTAGGCCACTAATCTTTCACAACATCATCATTAGAGTCACAAATCAAGCATATTATAAAATTGTTAATCCAATTTTATTCATATCATATATACCACTTACTCTCACTCTATTTTTACATATATATGTCAAACCCTAATAACCAGACTATATATATATATATATATATATATATATATATATATATATATATATACACTATTATTTAAACAATGTATTA